ATCCAAACTTAACTTACCTGCTACAACTGTTAATGCTACATTTTATCGCTGGCTGGCACTATAGCCTTTATCGACTCCTGCTGCTTTAGTATCATACATGTAGTAAAATCACTGAATCACTGAAGAAAGCACATTCTTCCCTCTCTCTCAGCCTTTTACCAAAGGGCTGGCACTAGGAACTTTCTTTGGGCCCATGGTGGCTTATTTCGCAATCACAACCAATAAACAAGCACAAAAATTGTGAAATGTTTCGGATGAATGCTCACTCAACCAGTGACAGAGCCAGACTGAAGCAGCGTCCCAGCGGGTGGACATGTCTGATATGTGTGATTCCTGGGGCAAGGTCCAAAATTTGAAGCAAAATTTAGCACAAAAAAAGTGTCTGAAATCCAAAAAAGTCTGATATCCGGTGTGTGTGAAATCCGGGGCTCCACTGTATGCTTAAATTTTAGACTTCTTTTTTTTTTCAATAACCAACTGGATAAATCTTACCATCTACTTTAATAAAAAAAAATGATGTTTTGTGTTAGATACCTTGAGTGGGAATGGAGATGAAGTATCAGATGGTCCATAAGGATTGACTGGTAACTGTGAAGCAGGTCCCAGATAAGACAACTTTCCCATCCATGGAATGACATCCAGTCCTACAAGAATCATAATGACATTTAAAATTTTAAACTAATTAGTAATGTGAGAAAATTATTAGATCTTAAAAATATTTAGAAATCACAAATACATAAGAAGAGTACTGTACCCTCTATGCCACTTCTGATACTAGATATCATTAATCATTAATCACATTTCACTCACTTTCTCTTCACCTTAACTATCATATTGTTATACTCATGGTAAAAAGTATTAAACCCATAGGATCATACAGTGCCTGTGGAAAGTAATTAGGTTTCATCCAAGGAAGAAAAAGGTAGCTTTAGTTCCTTGGAACAAAAGCCCTTGACATTAAGTTTTTCTACCATGAAGGGGAGCTATTTTATGTTGTACTCAATATGGAAAAAAGCCATGGAAGCACAGAACTGCCATACCCCTGCACCCCAGAATATTAAATGAATATGAACTAATTGTACAGTTTTAATATGTAAATAATAACACAACAACCACATTACTGATGCAGGACAGAACATGTTTGACACAAGATCATAACACTCAACAACCTACATTGCTATTGTCCCAGGTTTGAGCTGAACTAGTCATATTATATAAAAAAAATATTTAAATAAGCTGGTACTTGATCCTGGAGGTGGGGAATACACTGCCTATACCTCTGAAGGTTCAAAAAAATATTAATTTGTAAATCATGGTACAGCGCTTAAAACTGGTTATATATGTTCCCTTAGGCATGCTGGGCATCTCACATTATTGTTATTATTACAGTCAGACCTCCACATCTGCAGATCAAAAATATTTAAAAAAGAAACCAGAAAGTTCCAAAAGGCAAAATCTAAATTTGCTGCATGCCGAGTACTATGATGAATCCAAGCAAATGAATTAATGTGTAGATGATACTGAGGGATGATTGTATATGTATGAATAGCCATCTGAGTTTTCTTCTACCTTCTTGATAGTTCTTAATAGGTGTAGTTGCCAGTGGCCCAGTGTGTGTGGTGACTGGATGATGAATGACTGGGTGGGTGAGAGTGTGGTTGGTGTCAGCACTAATGAGTGGGATGTGTGACTGATTTGGTATGTGGATTGCGTGTTAGGGTGAAAGACTGGGTAAAGTATGGGCATGGGGAAATGGTGTAGGACTAGGCAAGGTGTAGTCTTGAGATAGTATGGGGAATGGTGTATGTGCATGTGGCTGTAGAGGGAATTATATGGGTGGATGTGTGGGGTAGGTTGTGGTTTGATGGTGTGACCATGGGGAGTTTTGGAGGTTGCTGGCTGGAATGGTGTGTGAAGGCATGTAGCTGTGGGTGGCATGGGTGGAAGGAGGTAGGCATGGGTGGAAGGAGTAGGGATGGTGGAAGGAGGTAGCATGGGTTGGATGTATGGTTGAAGGCATGTGGCTGTGGTGGAATTATAGAGGCAGGTGGTATGGGTGGGGGTTGTGGGTTGTATGAGCGTGCATTGAGGGCATATGGCAGTTGGTATGAGCAAAGGTGTGTGGCCAATGTATGGTACCAGACGCATATGACTGGAGCAGAAGGTATGGTATTAAACACGTATGAATGGAGCCTTGAGCCACACCCACCATGGGATGTACAATGGGTGAAGAGAATGCGGGACTTGAGCATCCGTGGATCAAGAACCCGTCACTAGCCTCAATGAGCCTCCCTTGACAGGTGGCTTCCTCACAGAAGCTCCTGTGTATAATGGAGCCATAGTTGCTCTTTGTTGATGACAGTTCTAGGAGATTATGAAGAGAAGCTGAAAAGGATGATGAAGAATTTAGAAGGATGTGTAAAAGAAGGACATTAAAAGCAATTAAAGAGGAGGGGTGTGTATGGAGAAAATTAATGTATTCAGATCCTTGGGAGTTAACATGTTGGCAGATGAGTCTATGGAAGAGGAAGTGAACCAAAAAGTTTATCTATGGGGACAAAAAAAAAAAAGGAAATGTACCAGAGTATAGTAGTACCAACCCTTTTATACAGGTGTGGGGCTTGAGTATCCAAGAGGCTTGTATGAGTGGAGACAAGTGCTGCTGAAGTATGAGCAAGGTAACATTAGGAAGGGATTTAGATAAACTGGTTAGCTGGACTCAAGCTGTTGAGGCGAGAAGTAGTGCTGTATTCTGAATAAAGGAGGGATGGGGGTGTTACAGTTCAGAGGGTTATTTGAACTGTGATGTCTGTGCAGTTTTAGAAACACAGCTGTTGAATGAGTACACTGAATAAATTTCTTCTTGGGGAAGAAGAGTCACTACCTTGGTGGGAAACAGTCAGTATATTAAAAATAAAAAATAAAAACAGCTATATAGCATCATGAATACACACCTGGTACAAAGAGAGAGAGCATCAGATTTGATTTTTTCTTGTTGTCTGCCCATGAGTAGAGGATACCATGCCAGTTTTCTCCCACTTGACACAAAGCCACCATATTCTCACGCTGTCGAGAAATATCAACAATGGTTACACGAATTAGCAAGGGAATGGCATACAACACTAAAGAGCTTTGGAAGATGTGCTGATAATATTCATCTAGCAGATTACTGTAATAATATTATGCTATAGCTCCCCAAATACTAATTTTGAAAAAAAAAAAAAAAAACTGCATTCTTGCTGTGTAAAATAAAATTTACTACTAAAAATAAATTTACTACTAAAGAATACAGTCCTCCCATCTATGAAAACTTGAGTTAAAAAAAAAATCATCAGATTTTAGTGGTTGTTTGCACCCTTGTGTAAATAAAACTCTTACTACATTATTTTTTTTTTTTTTTTTACCAAGTCGGCCGTCTCCCACCGAGGCAGGGTGACCCAAAAAAGAAAGAAAATCCCCAAAAAGAAAATACTTTCATCATCATTCAACACTTTCACCACACTCGCACATTATCACTGTTTTTGCAGAGGTGCTCAGAATACAACAGTTTAGAAGCATACACATATAAAGATACACAACATATCCCTCCAAACTTCCAATATCCCAAACCCCTCCTTTAAAGTGCAGGCATTGTACTTCCCATTTCCAGGACTCAAGTCCGACTATATGAAAATAACCGGTTTCCCTGAATCCCTTCACTAAATATTACCCTGCTCACACTCCAACAGATCGTCAGGTCCCAAGTACCATTCGTCTCCATTCACTCCTATCTAACACGCTCACACACGCTTGCTGGAAGTCCAAGCCCCTCGCCCACAAAATTCCTTTACCCCCTCTCTCCAACCCTTTCGAGGACGACCCCTACCCCGCCTTCCTTCCCCTATAGATTTATATGCTATACTTATATTTATATATATTTATATTTATATTTATATACTACATATTATGGTGTTAAAAAGAATTACCTCAGTCATCTATAAGTTACATTGCCACAAAGGAAGAAAATTTATTTCCTCCATTTTCCCTGACAGTGTACAGTATTTTCTAGCTACACATTACAAGTACAAATAATTTATTTCTTTTTTGCAGTATACATACATGTAATGTAGTTTACATGTAATCAAATACATCAGCCACAAAAGAAAGCCACGAGCATCCTGTGTATTTCAGGAAGACTAATCCTGATACTTAAAGACTACTTAGGTATTAGACATAGGTTATTAAGTAGGAGTTTTTAAATGTACAAAAGAGAGATGAAGCTAAATGAAGAGCAGTACAATTTTAACAATGCATTAATAAATACTTCAAACTGATTCAGTGATTTTCAGCTATGATGAATGGTTTGAAAAACCGACAAGTTGAAGATTGAGACACTTATGCAGCATATGGGAATCTTTATTCAGGAAACGTTTCGCCACACAGTGGCTTCATCAGTCCAATACAAAGAGGAAGGCGTAAGGAGAGGAGGAGTATGAGGTAATTACCTCATACTCCTCCTCCTCCCATATGCTGCATAAGTGTCTCAATCTTCAACTTGTCGGTTTTTCAAACCATTCATCACAACTGTCAGACACTGCAGCATCATGGGATCTTGTTACAAAGAATTCTTCAACTCTTGTTCAACCTTTGGACAAAGACCTACTTCGACTAGTGGATGGTACCACTATGACCCCGCCTCCGCCTGCTTCACCTCACCTCACCTCACTACAGTATATAAGCCACGTCTACGGCCCTATGCTGTACATTCTACAAGATTGATGGACTGAACACATCGACTCCAGGCTGAGGGACTTATTACCTCATACTCCTCCTCTCCTTACGCCTTCCTCTTTGTATTGGACTGATGAAGCCACTGTGTGGCGAAACGTTTCCTGAATAAAGATTCCCATATGCTGCATAAGTGTCTCAATCTTCAATTTCAGCTACATGGGGTTTCTTACGCAATTTCAAAGTGACTAGGTTTAGCGCTTCCTTTTGATTATAATAATAATAATTCAAAGTGACTCAATGTCTTCAGTTTATGGAATGATTGAAAGAGATGGTGAAGATACAGAAAGTTAATTAGTTTCAGTAGAAATATAATGGAGCAAGATGAGTAATTAATTTTCTATGGGAGCTTGAGGAAGACTGGAAGAACAAGGATAGAGTTGGATTAGCTGGTTTTATTTGGTATAGCATAGTGTTAGATTAGTTATGTTAGGGAGATGAGGTGCCTTTTAACAATAGCTCTACACTGATCAGCAGATAGGGAACCTTTTTCATAATTTGGGTTATGAATTCCAGATTTTAGAGCCTTTTATGCTCACCGAGTTTTTGCATAGGTTGAGGCAAATACAGGGAATGTCAAAGAGAGTTTTGTGTCTCTTGTTATGCCTGTGTGTTTTGTTGCAGCTATCAAGAAAAGTTTCAAATGAAGGTTTATGCTGGAGTGTGAAGTTTTATATAGTACATAATAGGCACAGTAATATGAGTGCATATTTTGTATAACAATTTCAAACTCTTTTAAGAGTGGGGGTTGTGTTCTGGCACAGGAATGGGTAACAGTCCACACAGTGGCTTTTTGTTGGGTTATTAATGGTTTAAGGTGATTTGTTGAAATGGATCCCCAGGCACAAATACCAGAGATGCAGTAAGAGAAGATTAAAGAGTGGTATGGTGTGAGTGTTGTTAGGAGTACATAGTACTGTATCTTGGAGAATATGCCTACTATTTTGGAGACCTTCTTGGCTGTCGGATGTGGGTATTAAATATCAGGTTGCAGTCAAGGTGTAGACCTAAAAATTTGCCATAAATGTGCCTTGCAATTGAAGAACCATTGATCAATATATTAAGCTGGATAACTGAAACTCTTTAGGTAGTAGGTTGCTCAACAGTAACTACAGCAGGGAGGTATAACCATCCTGCCAAGTGAGTATAAAACAAAAGCCTGTAATTGTTTTACATGATGATATGATTGCTGGTGTCCATTTTTCTGTCTCATGAACATGCAAGATTTCAGGTACGTCTTGCTACTTCTACTTACACTTAGATCACACTACACATACATGTACAAGCATATATACACACACCCCTTTGAGTTTTCTTCTATTTTCTTACTAGTCCTTGTTCTTGTTTATTTCCTCTTATCTCTATGAGGAAGTGGAACAGAATTTTTCCTCCGTAACCCATATGTGTCGTAAGAGGCGACTAATGTTCCGGGAGCAAGAGGCTAGTAATCCCTTCTCCTGTATACATTACTGAAGTTAAAAAGAAAAACTTCCATTTTTCTTTTTAGGCCACCCTGCTTCAGTGGGATAGGGCTGGTTTGATGAAAAAAAAAAAAATTGAAACTGTTTCCAAACAGCATGTAGTAGGTTTTGTCTATATTGAGGGTGAGTTTGTTAGTAGTCATCCAGGTAGCTAATTTTAGTAGCTCATTGTTAACAGTGTCACTGCGCGTAGTTGGAGATATATTGGGGAGATCATTGATGTAAATGAGAAAGAGCAGAGAGGGCCAAGGACACACTGCCTTGGGGCACTCCTATGTCTACCAGCTGAGTTGACAAGGTTATGCTGTTGGTGGAGACATGGGAGGCAATTAGATTCAGTCCAAGGAAAGAGAGGGTAGCTCTAATTCTTTGGATAAAGAGCCCTTACGAGGAAAGCAACTCTCAGACCCAACCACTGAATGCTGCTAACCACTTTACCCAAATATCTCAGCAGGCATGAGATAAAAAGACACTCTTTCTTTCTGTCCATTCTGCTGACGAACCCACAGCATAGCAGTTTTTATCAACCTTTTGTTGAATAATACTCAGCACAGCAGATCTCATCCGAGGTAAACACACAACTGCTGGCACAGGCTTGACATGCAGTATGATGGATGTCTCACCCTCTGATGTCACATATAAACTTTCTATAGTAACAACTCCTTGACGTAGAAACATTTTTTTCTTTACAGTATATTACTGTCAACCTTGATCTGAGGAAATGGAACTACCACTCCCCTTCCAACAATCAAGCCTGATTACCTATCATTTCTTGGGGGCTGTATGACCCTTACAGATTTAGTTTCCCCAAGACCACAAAACTAGTGTATCTACAAAGATACAGAAAAATGTTAACATAAAACCTACCTTTAGTCCACCGTGAAGCAAGACACAAAATGAGGGAATTTTTCCTTCATCATTGCCACCACCTCCTTCATCATCACTTCCTGGATCAACCTTCGGCAACATTACCATGTCACCTGAACAAGAAAAATGTAAATTCTTCTTGAGAAATAGTTTTAAGTTTCAGGGAAGAGATAGTTTAAGTGTCTGCACCTGTCCCTTCTACATATCTAAGACACTGCTTTTGTTTATAAAACAAGTTACTGTCCAAATATAGTATAGTATAGGGAGATTCTAAAGAAAAGTTGCAAAGGTTAGTGGATGAGCTTCAGAGGGTTTGTAAAGGTAGAAAGTTGAAAGTGAACATAGATAAGAGTAAGGTGATGAGGGTATCAAACAATTTCGATAAAGAAAAATTGGATATCACAGTGGAGAGAGGGAGTATGGAAGAAGTGAATGTTTTCAGATATTTGGGAGGTGAGTTGTCAGCAGATGAGTTTATGAAGATGAGGTTAACCATAGAACTGATGAAGGAAAAAATGTGAGTGATGCATTGATGTATCTGTGTTGACAAAAAACATTATCCATGGAGGCAAAGAAGGGAATGTATGAAAATATAGTGGTACCAACACTCTTATATGGGTGTGAAGCTTGGGTTGTAAATGGTGTGGCGAGGAGGCAGCTGGAGGCTCTCGTGAAGTTAGCAATCTCGGTGATGTTTATGCATCAGTGATTTTTGCCCACTTTGAGCCCTATTTTTGGCCAATTCCGTTGTTCCAGTCGACGAAACTCACAGCTATTTCTTTAGAACTCCATTTGCTTTATCAACTGAGTACAAGAAACTGCCCATTTACTGATTTCAACTACCCAATAAAGTGGTCAGAAATTGGCAATTTGGCCAATTTCACAAAAATTAAAAGAGATGCCAATTTCAAAATAGGGTCCAGAATGAACACTGCAGACATTCCTGGCACTAAAATAACATTTTCTCTGTTCATCAGTCATGTTTCCAGGCCCCTCTCATATTACTCTTGAACCACGAGCCCATCACTAGCAACAAGGAATCCCCATTGAAAGAGTCAAACAGCATTTGTAATAAGATGAACTAAATTGCCTCAAAACTATTTTAAACCCATCTGTCAGTGAAACAATATTCCTAACAATAGTTTCAATTTAAACAAAAGGCACTTCTTTTGAGGTTCATATTAACTGACCTTTTGCAGAGAGTGGTAGGACCAGATGCCTTGAGAAGGCAGGAGGAGAGGACACATCTCCAGTGTTGAGAAAACCCAACACCTGGATAGCAGAATCCACACTGACACGCATCACCTCAAAATCGTGGTGACGGCAATAAGGCTAAAATATAAAATAATAATGTTATATTAATTTCCATTTTAAATATATTTTAAAACAAGCAGAATTATTACTGAAAAAGTTAGGGATAAGAGAGAAAATAAGATTGCTAAGGAACAAGGATGATTCAGGAGGAGGATGTGTACACCAAGTGTTTAGATTGAAGCATATAAATGAATACTCAAATAAAGTAAGGTACTGTTTGTCACAGTGATGGCTTTAGAAAAAGCATATGACAGAGGTGACAAGGGGAGGAATGTAAGATGTTGCAAAGTTGGAACTTTTTTTTTTTAATTTAAAGCCACCTTTTGCCAGGGGCAAGTGACACAAAGAAACAAATTTTTACTTCGCTGTGCAGTATAAAAAATGAAATTTAAGTGTAATAAAAATTGTTAGGCAAAAAAGAAACCCACCAGAGTGGGCATTTTTGCAGAAAAAAACCCTCACTCAGTAGTTTCTTCCGAAGTGTAGACACCCAAACTAAAAATTATGTCCTTTTTTTTTATTACATAGTTTTAATTTGTATATGCTGTATCATTAAAACAAAGATAGTGCTTGCTTAATGAGAGTAAAAAAAAAAATCTTCTGAAAGGGGTAGAGAATCTCTTTCTAAAGGAATGACCCCAAAAAATATAAATTTGATGAAAATAGAAATCTAATGAAATTAGGGCATTATGCAGACACAAATTTTGCAGTCGGGGAAAAAAATTTGGGCATTAGAATTTTGCCCATTCGAGTTTTATTTTTCAGCAAACTGCTTAAAATAAGCATTTTGCTTCTGTACTATTGCTGAACATTCAGATATCAAAAATTCCAGTTTAAGCCCCTTTATAAAAGGGGAAGGGGGGACAAAAAGTTTTGTAAAAATTATAGAGGAATAAGTTTATGATTCCCCGGAAAGTATACGGAGTTTTTAAAATTGAAAAAATTAGAGGCAAGCCCGATGTAAATTGCAGTGAGCAAGGAGGTTTTGGTGGGTAGGGGATGTGTAGATCAAGGCTTTTCATTTAAAAAATATTTCTTTCTTTCTTTAAACAACCGCCGTTTTCCCCCCGAGGGGGGGTGCCCAAAAGGAAAAACAAAGTTTCTCCTTTTACATTTAGTAAAATTTTACAGGAAAGAGGGTTTCTAGCCCCTTGCTCCCGGGATTTTTGTCGCCTCTTACAACACGCATGGGGTTTCGGAGGAAAATTCTGTTCCACTTCCCCCCGGGGAAAGAGGGGAAAAAAACAAGAATAAAACGAAAAAAAAATAGAAGAAAACCCCAAAGGGGGTGTATATATGTGCTTACATGTATGTTAGGTACCCAAGTGTAATAAAAAAGTAGCAAAACGTACCTGAAATTTGAGTTCAGAGACAGAAAAAAAAAACCCGCAATCCACCATCATGTAAAAAAATTACAGCTTTCGTTTTACACTCACTTGGCAGGACGGGGTCCTCCCTGGGCGGTTGCTGCTACCAAACCCCACTACCTATTTAAACAATATGTTAGCGTTTTTATTAAAGGTAGGGAAGTTTTTATTGCATTTATGGGTTTAGAAAAGGCAATGATAGAGTGAATAGGGAAGCAATGTGGCAGATGTTGCAAGTACTAATGAATAGGTGGTAAGTTACTAAATGCTGTAAAGAGTTTTTATGAGGATAGTGAGGCTCAGGTTAGAGTGTGTAGAAGAGGGGGAACTACTTTCCGGTAAAGTAGGCCCTTAGACAGGGATGTGTAATGTCACTATGGTTGTTTAATATATTTATAGATGGGGTTGTAAAAGAAGAAATACTAGGGTGTTCGGGAGGGGTGGGATTAAATTATGGGGAATTAAATACAAAATGGGAATGACACAGTTACTTTTTGCTGATGATACTGTGCTTATGGGAGATTCTAAAGAAAAATTGCAAAGGTTAGGGGATGAATTTGGGAGGGGTGTGTAAAGGTAGAAAGTTGAAAGTGAGCATAGAAAAGAGTAAGGTGAGAGAGTATCAAATGATTTAGATAAAGAAAAATTGGATATCAAATTGGGAGGAGGAAAAGGAAGAAGTGAATGTTTTCAGATATTTGGGAGTTGACATGTCAGCAGATGGATTTATGAAGGATGAGGTAATCATAGAATTGATGAAGGAAAAAAGGTGAGTGGTGCATGAGGTATATGTGGAGGCAAAAAAAGCTACTATGGAGGCAAAAAAGGGAATGTATTAAAGTATAGTAGTACCAACACTCTTATACGGGTGTTGGAAGCTTGGTTTGTAAATCGGCACCCCGAGGAGGCGGTTGGAGGCAGTGGAGATGTCCTGTCTAAGGGCAATGTGTGGTGTAAAAATTATGCAGAAAAATCGGAGTGTGGAAATTAGGAGAAGGAGTGGAGATAATAAAAGTATTAGTCAGAGGGCTGAAGAGGGTTTGTTGAGGTGGTTTGGTCTTTTAGAGAGAATAGATCAAAGTAGAATGAAAATGGAGAGTGTATAAATCGTAGGGGAAGGAAGGCGGGGTAGGGGTCGTCCTTGAAAAGGTTGGAGGGAGGGGGTAAAGGAGGTGTTGTGGGCGAGGGGTTTGGACTTCCAGCAAGCATGCATGAGTGTGTTAGATAGGAGTGAATGGAGACAAATGGTATTTGGGACCTGACGAGCTGTTGGAGTGTGAGCAGGGTAATATTTAGTGAAGGGATTCAGGGAAACCGGTTATTTTATATAACTGAACTTGAGTCCTGGAAATGGGAAGTACAATGCCTGCACTCTAAAGGAGGGGTTTGGGATATTGGCGGTTTGGAGGGATATATGTATTGTGTATTTTTATACGTATATACAGTGGACCCCTGGTTAATGATATTTTTTCATTCCAGAAGTATGTTCAGGTGCCAGTACTGACCGAATTTGTTCCCATAAGGAATACTGTGAAGTAGATTAGTCCATTTCAGACCCCCAAACATACACGTACAAACGCACTTACATAAATACACTTACATAATTGGTCGCATTGGGAGGTGATCGTTAAGCGGGGGTTCACTGTACTTCTAAACTGTTGTATTCTAGGCACCTCTGCAAAAACAGTGATTATGTGTGAGTGAGGTGAAAGTGTTGAATGATGATAAGTATTTTCTTTTGGCATTTCTTCTTTTGGGTCACCCTGCCTGGTGGGGGACGGTCGACTTTTTAAAAAAAAAATTATAGTCGGGATTATTTTACTTTTTTATGCCAGCTGTACTGAACATTAATATATGATAGTGTAAACACATTTCAGGGATTTGGTGCATTGATAATGAAAAATGGCTCTTTTCACCTGCCAGCAATTTCTGCTTATCGTTTGGGGTTGAGAATTTATAGCAGCATATGACTGGGGCCTCCTGACTGTGCACAAATACAGTACAGACCCTTCTCTCATGTCTAGGCCAAAATTACCACCTAGCTATCTGAGGCACTGTGCTTAATATAGATCTACATGATTTCACAATCAATAACATAGATCTACATTAATGACAAGAAAGGGTTAAGTACAGTAATCTTGATGACAAAATGCGTTAACACTTTTCACATTAACAGAGCTGCCAACTGCAGAATATTTTTAGTGAACACTGTCAATTAATCAGTTACACAGCTGAGTCTATCAGGGGAAACACTGCCCATTTTTCCACATATTCATGGGTTTATAAAGGGGGCCAAGACTGCCCCACTCTTCTAAGGAGGATGTTGTAGGTGAGTGTGGGTGCATGCTGCTGCTGTGTGGCAGAAAGTATGGATGAAGGTGGATGAGGGTGTGTGGGTGAGTGTGGATGAAGTGTATGTATGTTGCTGCTGTGTGGGGGAGTGTGTGGGTGACAGCAGGGACTGAGGATAGATGTTTCTGTGCATCTTCAGGCAGTTGATGTTTGGGTGAGAGTGAATGGTGAGAGAAAGTGGGTGAGAATGTATGGATGGAGAGTGTGAGTTAGTTGGTGAGGGTGTAAGCTAGTGGGTGGAAGAATGTGAGCTAGTGGGTAAGAGAATGAGAGCTAGTGGGTGAGGGTGTAAGCTAGTGAGTGGGAGAATGTGAGCTAGTGGGTGGAAGAATATGAGCTAGTGGTTGGGAGAATGTGAGCTAGTGGGTGGGAGAATGTGAGCTAGTGGTAGGAAAGTGTGAGCTGTGGGTGGGAGAGTGTGAGCTAGAGTGGGAGTGTGAACACTAGAAACTGAGAACAAGGTACTGAGTGAAGGCATGAGTGAAGGTGTGAGTGAAGGCATGAATGAAAGTGTGAGAGTGGCCTGGGGGTATATGCTGTCACTGCTGCTCAGCATTCTCTTCATCTGCTGTACATCCCATGTGGCACTGGAGTGACTGCTCAGAAAGGTGTGGGTGTGTAGCCAGGGGATGGATAGATAGATGGATGAGGACAAGTGTTTAGGGGGGAGGTGAGTGCAAGTGTCTGGGGAAAGAGGTCTGTGAAAGAGTCTGTTCAGAGAGGCATGGGTATGTGGGGTTAAGGGATGGGTAGAAGCACATGGGTGAGGATATGTGCTATGCAAATGTAGGGGCCTGAAGTTAGGTGGTGTCAATCCCCAACTCCACTGTATAGGTGTATGGGAATATTTGTGTGTGGGCAGGAAATTGAGGACATGTAAATGATGGGATGGGATGGGCAAAAGTGGGTGAGGGTATGTCAGTGAAGGGGGTGAGGGGCTAGAACGTAGGGGCAGTGGGGTGTAAAAATAGGAAGAGGGGTGTGGAAACTAGGCACTGGCACTGGACACAGCAAGAGTGGCTGAGTGTGATGGGTGAAGGTACTGGGTGAAGGTTTGGATGCCAGAGTCTTTTCCCTCCATTTTGCAGTGAAGCTACATTGAATCCACTGTTTTACGGGAGAGGCCTATTTAATGTACATAACCTCTCTCACCTGTGCTCCATTCATACCTCGGCCACACGCCTCATGTACAATTACCCTTAACATCCACCCCAATAATTACCCCACAGTCACATGCCTTCACCCACACAATCTCAACCAGTGACCTCCACCCACTTGCAATTTCCCCCACAGCAACAC